CTTACTAGTTTATGAAATTCAGAAATGGCTTCTAAATATGTCTCACCATCCACTTTGGTAAGTATATGGTTGACCAAGCTCATGTTTTAGACCGGGGAAGAGTGTAATACTCGCAACTATTTCTCATCATTTGAGTTGAAATGTTCGACATCCAGGCGTCCGTTTAATTCGCTCTCTATATATACCATTGTTAAGCTATTGTTGTGCTTGGAAAGATGGAATGTAAGACAAATTGATGGACTGCTGGAGTTACGACATATGAAAGTTGATTTAATGATGTAGAAATTTGACAATGATGAACAAAGAGGAAGAGTGATAATTTTCGCACATAACCGGAAATACAACTGACTTCACCAACCATCGATTTTATGTCATTGTTTATTGATCAATAAACAGTCAGCGCAGATTTAGATCAGTAGAAGAGCATATTCGAAAAAAACCACTGTATATTAGAAGATGTATGTTGGGAGATAAACACACTGTTTTACTTCTTTTTGCAGAGCTCAACATTTGATGCAGAGATTAAATTTGTATGATGAAGGTGCAAATATAGTTCTCGACGATCTGTATCTTACTCTTAGTGATTCAATTCCTATGACCGGTGTGCAATCTATTTTTTTTTTAACCTTGACTTGAAGATCTTTGCAAAAAATGGAGTACATTAATGTTTGCGTCACTATTATTGTCAGTCTGAAAAGGTGTAATATGGTGGTAGAAGGAGTAATTTCCCCATTGAAATCTTTTGGGTATTTCAAAAAGGTACACGAAGTGCAACTTGTTGACATAGACAATCACTGAAGTATAAGTGAAATAGAGAAAAGAGAATAAACCACAGGGAATTTTTCACTAAAAATTGGCAAGTTGTATAAGCCCCAGTGAGTCATATTACTCTGCCTGGCTTGCTGGGCTATTTGTATAATTCGTTTTAAATTTGACTTTTATCTTACTAGCTTGGTGCAGCAATGGCTTGAATAGATAGCACACTTTCTGTATGAGCTCGCCATGGTCGCTTCGGCCGGCGAATTTCAACGTTCCATAGAATAAAGTTGCCCTCCATAATACTAGTCAGCGTCTAAGTTAACTATGTTTGTGTGTAACTCGAAATGCTGCGTGCCCGAGCCGTGTGTATAATTGAGAGTTTGCGGTATACCCGGAACAGAAATACTTGTCATCGTCGAGGCAGAATAGAATGATTGACTTGGCTCTTATGCCCTCGAAAGATAAAAGTGGGAGCCGGTACTTCGCAATGTGAGGGGCCAGGTGACCGGGGCAATCTTCGATAGGAGTGGCTTGTTTTAGGTACAAATGCGGCAGAGGCGCTAAGAATGCCCCATTTTGACTTTAGGAGCTCCACACTAATTGCGTATGGTGTATTGCATGAAGTAGGCCAGTAGCTGCCTACTCAAAGTAAGACATTGTTATCAGACGACTTGCGTGTCCATAATAAAAGTAGAGCTACGATAAAAATGAAAATGAACCTGCAAGGACTCCATGTAAGTAAGCTTTTTCGCACTTCCATTTAAAGCAGTATGTGATCTGGTTACAAGGAAATTGTTTACGCCGTGTACTTAGACGAGCACTCAGCACCGTCAAGCCTTAAGATAAAAGTATATATTGGGATGATTTCCTCAAATTGATTTTGGTCTTCCTCCTTTTCGCTTTCAGTTGTCAGGGGGCATAGCAAAAGGAAGAAACATTGCCTACTTTTATTTTGGAATTGCGCTTGAAAGACGTAAGTAGTTTTTGCAATTCCAGTAACATATTAGCTTTTCAAACTAAAGTAGCCGACATGTTTGCAGCTCACTCCGGTTCAACTACCTTGACAACATGGACCGTACAGTAGCTGAGGTATCTCAGTTAGCCAAGGTGACTATTGATAAAACCCCCAAAGCCGTGCACGCTCTTGTGCGATACTGTCAAGCTACAACATGGACTGACTGGCCAGACCATATCCGAGCGAATTCTCGCGACTGGATGAAAGATATCCTAGCTAGGGTTTTCGATACAAGAACTGGGGGCGTTGTGCCCGGGGATCTATTCATAATCGATCATAGCCATTGGGGGCGAAAACATGGTTGCGCATTGGCTTTAAGCGCACATGCCGGAAACAGTACCAAGCAGTACCTGAATTGCGTGATTGTGCTATTGGCCGCTCTTCGTGAGACCGATCGACAAGAATATTTGGCTATAGTTCGCGAACATCTTAAGCATGGAGACGTTCATGTCGAACGTCACTTTTCGGACAAGCCTCCAGCTGAAAGGGATCAGGCTCATCGAGAGTATACAGCTTGGCGTGATGCTCTTTGTGACGGGGTTCTACATGCTTCTGGTCTATTACACTTGGGCAGTCATGCGCGTGCTGTACCGACCAAGGACGTGAAACGGTGTCTTAGAGGACTTTTGTGTGGCACGAGTGTTGAAACCAAGGATACCCTCTTGCTAATTAAAAAGTTTAAACTTGAGCCAATGCTCAAGTGCGGCCACTTGCCCAACTGAACGTCCTTGCTTATTCCAGAGGAGGCGAAACTCAATCGACTTCTATTGTCGGCTTCTTTCATTACATTGGTTTGTTCCTTCTTTCTCTAGAAACTTTCTTTACTTTGCATTTCTCTGGAATAATACCCCAATTTTTGATGCTGTCCACCTATCCGTATGTGACCCTTCTCATTCCCTTTTTTTTGCTATAATCCATCCGCCATCCATAATTTTATCTGTAGTCTCTCCCCACCCCCTTTTTCTTATTAGAATGCATCCATTTATTCGTAATTTTATTTATAGTCCTTTCCCAATTCCATTTTTACTGCTCTAATCCATTCACTATTCATGATTTTATTTGTAGTCCCTTCCCATTCCCTTTCTTCACTTCAATATATACAGATTTAAAAATTATTTTGCGTCAAAGCCATTTGTTTATGCGTCGTCTGACATTTCGAATTAAGATCACGTTACCAGAGCAGTAGCCTGAAATTATCTTCGCAATCATCAGTAACTAAATGTATGGCAGGAGAAACAAAATGAAGCCTTATAATGTTACAGATAAAATAGTGAAGGTGTCCGTGCATTTGAAAGGCAATCGTTAAATAATAAAGGTTAGATGATAATGCAGACGTAGAAGACTACATATACTTCCTCCGAAAGATCATCGTTAATGTTCTACTATCAAGTCTTACTGACTTCGATGTTGAAAACTTCAGTCCAATGCTAACAATTCGGACTGAATTCGATATTGAAAACTTCATTATTCCAAAGCTACAACTTCTTCTTACTATAAAAGTGCTACATTTGAAAAATCTGGTCTTATCAAAACCTCGTTCTCTTACGCATTATTGCCATACGAGCGAGATGATCATTACAATGTATATAAGTATTGTCCGCCAGCCTTTGATTCAAGGCCCTGCAATGTCGTGAAAGGTTTTCCCTGGCTTTATACTTATTGGATAAGTTGCTGCGAGCCTATCTACACGTTCTTTCCACGCGTAAATGAATTGCAGTATCTCATTCAGCAACGCTCACTCAAAAATTGAATGTCCGATATTGGCGGCGAGCTGCACACATCGGCTGAAAAGAAACAAATGAATGTAGTTTCAGGGATTCAAACCTGCATAGACCCGATCAAGGATATCCGTAAAATGTGGCCAAGAATTCGTAAAATGTGGCCGAAAATTCGCTAATGCGACTGAAGAATATTATCCTTCGGAAATCGAAAAACGAAAGGATCGGCAATCCTCACATTGTCACTGAACAAAACCGTGATCTCTTTTTTTTTTGGGTCAAATGACAGCCAGGTCCTACAAGCCTTACAAGAAAAAGTATAAAAAAATGCCTTTGAAAGTGGTCTTTCTCATCATCCTTTTCATTTTCAGTTAGTGGGCATAGCAAGCAAGAAGCATTGCCATCTTTTGCTTTAGGATTGCGCTTGAGACACGTAAGTAGCTTTTGACTCCCGTATGATATACTAGCTTTTCAATCTGACATGGCCCACATGTTGCGATCTATTTCAGTTCAAATATCATAACAACATGCAGCACGTACCAGACGTAGTAGCTCGAGCTACCATATTGGTTCTCGAGATGACCCCCAAAGCTGTGCACGCTCTTAAGCGATACTTACAAGCTATATCGTGGGATGACTGGCCTGCCCATATCCGACCAAATTTTCGTGACTGGATGAAAGATATCCTAGCTAAAATTTTCCAAACAAGAACTGGAGGCATTATGCTTGTAGATCTGTTAATAATCAATCGTGGTTCTTGGCTACGTAAACAAGGTTGCGCATTGGCTTTAAGCGCTCATGCCGGACATAGTACTCAGCAGTACCTGAATTGCGTTATCGTACTATTGGCCACTCTTGATGAGACCGATCGACAAGAAAGTTTGGTTACAGTTTGCAAACATCTTAGTCGTGGAGATGCTCATGTCCAACTTCACTTTTCGGACAAAACGCAAGGTGAAAAAGATCGATCTCATCGAGAGTACCAAGCTTGGCGTGATGCCATTTGTAAGCGTATTGAATATACTTCCGGTCTCTTAAACTTGGGTAGCGATGCGCTTGCTGTTCCGGCCACGGAAGTAGACCGCTGTCTTAAAGGGCTTTTGAAAGGCACTACTGTTATAACCAGGGATACCCTCTTACTCATTAAGAAGTATAAACTTGAGCCAGTACTCAGACGTGGCTAACTATACAACTGAACATCCATGCTGTTACTAGACGCTTAACAAACTCAGCATTGGATATCCACTTTTCGAAAGATGATCTGCAATGAAGTATCCCGTGGACTTTTTTTTCTTGCTGTCCACCCATCCGTATTTTATATATGGCCCTCTTCCCATTCCTTTTTCTTATCGTGACACTTTCACCTATCCATAATTTTAATTGTAGTCCCTTCCCATTCCCTTTATTCACTTTAATAAACACTGATTTAAAAATTATTTTATGCCAATGCCATGTGTTTATGCGTCGTCTGACATTTCAAATTAAGACTACGTTACCAGAGCAGTCAGCTTCAAAAATAGTCTCGCAATCACTGGTACTTTGAGCATGGCGTCGAAGATAAATAGGTGAAGATATAGATGTATTTGGAAGGTAATCGTTGAATAATGCATGTGAAGATTGAAATGCAGACGTAGAAGATTATATATACTTGCTAGTTTTATGAAAATCAGCAATGGCTTCTGAGTATGTCTCGAGATCAACTTTGGTAAGTATATGGTTGCCCAAACTCATGTTTTAGCCCGTGGAAGAGCGTAATGATCGCAACCATTTCTCATCATTTGGGTAGAAATGATCGACATCCAGGCGTCCGCTTAATTCGCTCTCTATATAGTCCATTGTTAAGCTATTGTTGTACTTGACAAGAGGGACGTTAGACAAAATTGATGGGCTGCTGGAGTACGACATATGAAGTTGATTCCTGATGTAGAAATTGACATTGATGAACAAAGAGGAAGAGTGAAACATTCGCAAAATCAACAGGAAATACAACGGACTTTGTTAACTTAAGACCTATCTACATGATTTTACGACATTGTTATTGACCAATAAGCAGCAAACGCAATTAGACGGGCAACCGCGCATGTTATTCGAAAGAAAAGACTGTATTTTGGAAGTTAAACGTACTGTTTTACTTCATTTAGAAGATTTCAACATTTGTTGCAGAGCTTAAACATATATGATGTACATCTAGATGAGCTGTATCTATTTTAAACGATTCAATATCCCCATGACCAGTGTGCGATCTACTTTTTTTTTTCATGTCATGGGCTTGTAGATCTTACAAAAACGGTATATTTAGGGGCTTTGTGTTATCATCACTGCGTGTATGAAAAAAAAAATGCTGGTAAAGTATGAGATGGGGCAAGCGGGGTACTATGCGATTTTCAAACTTGATTGGTTACTGCTTCGCCAGCCCTGAACTCTGAAAGAATAAATTGCTGAAAGAAACCAGAAAGAAACTAACAGAGAAAAGAACTGCTTGATGCGACTAAGTGGAAAAAAAAATGCCATTGCAACATATGAGTGATGTTATCTTGCAATGGATGACTTTATTAATGATATAAGTGATCGTTGATTCGAACGTTGTATGGTGCTGGTTATTGTTTTTGCGTTGTATTTGGGATGCATGCCGCTAGGTTCTTTTAAATGATATTGCATTACTTGGACAGATGAGCCTTGCTTTGCACTTTATGATACAGTGATGGAAGTGTCGATGGTGAATGTTGTTCCCTCTTCGTCTTCGTCTGCAAAGTCATCGGGATCATATATGACTCTGATAATCAGCGAACATGATGGGCAACGGGCAACATCCTCTCCGTCTTTTATCTCATCCTGTAAAAGAATGATCAGTCAGTACAACGAGTGTCTATTTTCCGCCTTATGTAATTGTAGGTCATTCTTACCAATGATATCTCAAATTTGTCGCCACATGGGCAAGGATAGGTATAGATTTGAGTATCCTCATCAAAGTCCAAATCCTCGATTTCGACCTAAAAAGCAGGGAAAGTTAGTAATGTTGGCAAAGGTGGGGGGGTGTTGGTTAATCAAGGCACTGCACTGCAGCTGTGCCAGTACTGTTTTGAATCTCACCTCGTCGTAGAATGAAGTCATGTTGTTGATGATTACGAATATAAGTTGTAGTATCTGTGTTGCTCTCTTGAAAGAAATGGAAGTTATGTCTCGATGACCAATGAAAAGGCTGGTTGATAGTCAATGGAAAGATCTTGGGACCCAAAAAAAAAAAAGATTGGCACAGTTGAAACTTCACCAGTGCGGGCACAGTCACGACCGCAGCTTCGGTTTTCATTAAAAATTATTTTTATCATTTAAAGTAATGACGAGATCAAAATTGTCTCCACTTTTTTTTGTAAGAATTTGAATTGCCCCATGTGATTGCCAGTTTGTCAGCCAGAATAGTCGTCAAATAAGGTCCTACCCACCTACTTCTTTACCCCATTCCTTTTCTCTTATGTCCTTTCAAAATATGGCCAATGGAGCTGACTGCTCTACGGGTGCTAACCCAATGTCTCAACTTATGAAACAGTTCACTCAGGACAAGTCTTTACAGAGGGTAAGTTGTGGTTTGGCTTTGACTATGCCTATTCTTGGAAAACAATAGCTAAACTCCATTTCCAGGATCGCTTTGAATCTCCACAAGCAGGCCCAAGCGGTCAATCGGTAAGACAATCTCGTAATTGACTGTAACAAAAAATACAGTATGCTTCGTTGGACATTACCTGCTCACAATGTCTTGGTCGCCATCTATAGATGAGAACAGCAAGACAGCCTGTCGGACCTGCAGATCAACGTATGTTGGACGAATTCTTTAGCCAGCAGGAATCCTCGGCTGGACCAAGGGCTGCCCAGCGAGGACCAGCATTCCAATTCTCAGACTTACACAAGGAACTCGACAATATCCAAATGGGCCCTTCGCCACACCAACAAGGAGGGTGGGCTTCCGAATTTAACACCATGCCCGGTGGTCCGAAACTGTGGGAACTAAATTCTGATGAAGCCGCCGCAATGGAACAGTCATTCCAGGCTGGCATGCTGAATCGAGAAGGCCCCCCATGTAAGTAAACCCCTTTGATGTAGTAGCTGTTTGTCAACACCTGGCCACAAACTTATGTCGTTTTTTCGCCTTCTACAGCGGAATGGAGAGAGGAATTTATGAATAACCCCGCGCTTTCACATATCGGTAATGACCAATACTCTGAACAATTCGAACAAGCCTTCCAGAAGCATTTTGATTGGCAAAACGAGTTCAACCTGCAGCAAGACAAAGGGAAGGGAGTTGGCGAGAACGCTACTTGGGAACAAGAATTTGCAGCATACGATAGCAAGCCGGAGTTGACTGATGAAGAGCGAATTGCAAAAGAAATTGAAGAGGCTTCGGCTGCTGAGGACACAAAGTACTTTGAAAACTTTGAGTCTATTTGGCAAAACATTAAAGATACCTCACTCGGTCCCGAAGGCTTTGATAACGATTGGGAAGACGAGTTTGCCAACTACAATCACGACGGTGCAGATACTCTCAAACCCGATCTCGGTGAATATGTCTTTGAGATTGAAAATCCTTTCATGAACCACCCAGACCCTATGACAGAAGGTCTCCGATTACTTGAACAAGGTGGAAGCTTGAGTGAGGCGGCACTTGCTTTTGAAGCTGCTGTACAAAAATCACCGCTTGACTCACAAGCTTGGATGCATCTCGGTAACACTCAAGCTCAAAATGAGAAGGAGGAGCCCGCCATCCGAGCCCTAGAAAAGGCAGTCGAGGTCGATGAAGGCAATCTGTCCGCTCTCATGTCGCTTGCTGTCAGTTATACCAATGAATCCTATGACCATGCCGCTTATCAAACTCTAGAGCGATGGATTTTACAAAGATATCCAGATATCGTCCCACCCATGGCAGAACCTACAGAAAATCCATTTGATCTTCATGGACGCGTCACTGACATGTTTTTGGCCGCTGCTCGCGCTGCTCCGGCCGACAATATGGATGCCGACGTTCAAGTTGGTCTAGGCGTTTTGTTCTATGGTAGCAACGAATTCGAAAAGGCCGTCGATTGTTTCGTTTCAGCACTGAAGGGTAGACCAGGGGTAAGCATTGAGATTTCTTGATACTGTATCAGCGTAGCTTTTACTCATTGTTCGCATTTAGGACTATTTGTTGTGGAACCGATTGGGAGCTACTCTTGCTAATAGTGGGCGATCAGAGGACGCCATTGATGCATACCACAAGGCTTTGGAGTTGCGACCTTCGTTTGTACGAGCACGATATAATCTCGGTGTCAGCTGTATCAACATAGGATGTTATCAAGAAGCTGCTGAGCACTTGCTAGGAGCTCTGTCAATGCATAAGCGTAGTATAGAAGATGCGGAGGAAGGCGTCAATGTTAGCAGTAATCTATGGGAAACTCTTCGAAAGACCTTCATTATGATGGTAAGTTTCTTGGTTGGTGATGAAACAATTGGCTCTACTATATGAAACTAAACATTCGATTACTATAGGATCGCCGTGATCTTGCTGACAAGGCTATGGTTGGAGCTGATATCAATCAATTCCGAGATCAGTTTGAATTCTAAACAGCAATATGCTGCATCTTGTAATTGCTTTTATAGATACACTGTTGCATGCGCTCGGGCCATGCCACTTTTTTTTAAAAATTGTAAAATGAATAATCAAATGTAGAACTAACTCGGAATCAACAAGTAATGCACATGGGGGTTCGGGGTATTAGGAGGGATGTGGGATGGGATCTGCCTGAGGTTTAAACCAAGTCAGCCTGACCAAAGCAAGCTGCAATGATAGTGATGAGGATGTTGAGGTACGCCACCTGCGGGTTTTCGGGGTCAGCTTGCTCTTGCCGAATTTGAATGCATTTACGAGAAACGTTTCTTAGGATGGACGTTTCATCTGAAGTCATGACTTTGTCCAATCGCGTCAAGAGCGCGTACATCCACATTGCCTGTCAGAAAGCAAATGTTTCATCAGATGCACGTCTCATTATATCAATTCAAATGTGATATGTCGTTCATACCTGGTTTTTCTGTATCTCGTTATTTTCAAGCCACTCAATGTGCCAATTCAATAACCTAAGTACAACATTCTAATAACATATGTGCCATTAATTTCGTGACCAAGCTCCATGGCTGCACAATTAAATGTATATACCTGACTTATCCGCTGAAGAATGTTGACATCGGGATTATGTCCTTCTTTTTGATCACTACTTTCCTCGGTCTTTGGCGCCCCATAAAGAAATTCTTTCCATTGCATTTTATCCTTTGCTGCTGGTAGCTTAATTTCATTGTTCTGAAGCTTGGAAAGCTGTGAGAAACTCTTTAAAACCGTTAATAAATACAGAACACACTTCAACAACGCGATTCCCTCAAAACTCTTACCTCTTTGATACCGTCGAATTGTGTTCGAAATGCTGTTCGCCATTCGTCTTTTGGGAGCAAGTTCTCTGCGGTCGGTGTGACTTGCTCAACTTGGAACTGATAATGGCTGGGTAATGTCGATGGGCTGAACTTTTTCGTTTCCGGAGGCGGTGCCGCTACTACAATAGCAGGAACTCTTCGCGTTTGTCTCCTGTATAATGATATAAGCAATAAGTATTTGGTTCATTCCATAATACTCGTCTGATCCGGAGTGCTTACCGAACCATGAGCAAGTAGTCTTCGCCCGTTGCAGGTACAAATGTATCATCGATTGTCTTCTCATGAGAAACAGGTAGGATGCTCTTCCCCGTATATTGCTCTTCATCGTCATCGTTATCCACTCGTGTTAAAATGCGTCGGGCAGCCATTCCAGCTTAATAGCCTTGTCAACTGCGAACCCCTTGTACCGACAAATTTCATGACACACAACTGACACGTGATTTTTCGACATGGTAATCCGTTTAAATACCGGACGCCGCGCTGACCCACTTCCCCTAGGTACGATCACCATGCCTTCGAATCAGTCGAAGCAGCATCCTTATGCTGTCTATTCCTCGGGGGAAGACGTCAAGCAACCTGTAGCTTTGACAAAGGTTTGACCCCCAGCCTTACTTGGACCGTGCTTAAATGCATTTGCTAACATTTCGCAACAAATAGATTCCAGCAAAGTTCGTGTCCTATTCCCACACCGTTTTTGCCTATTGTACGTTTTCACTCTCAAAAAGTGCCATACTTTTCAATTACTAATTCTAACTGAACCAGGTGCTTTCTTTATTGCTCTTGGTGTTGGCTGTGCCACCCATTATGAGAAAATCGTTCGCAACGAGTTTTATGGATATCCTGACGTAGGTGAACCCTCAATTTCATTGAATTCGTGTCATACATAATTTACAAACCCAATATTGCCCACAGGAATGGTTCCCAAGTGTGAGCGCTACCACTGGAGACCGATACCCGGCTCGAGCTATCTTCCAAATTTTTATTGCATTGACTTCAGGACCCCGCTTTGCCCTGGTTTTTCTCTGGTTTTGGCTGACTACACGCTCTACCCTTACCTCTTCGAAAGGTTTTGGAAACTTTTTACTTGGTGTTGGCCTGGTCCGAACCGTTGCCTGTGGTGGATGGGTATATATCACATCTTCTGATGATCATTTGACTCACGACATTGCCATGGTCCTATATTTGTTGTGCACATTACCCTGGCAAATTGGCGTACTTTCAACTAGTGACAAGAAAAACCCAGCTGCTGTCAGATGGAGAAGGTTTTTTACGTTTGCCTTTTTCACCACTCTTCCTCCGATGATATATTACTTTATTCAGCACAAAGTGAAGCGTGTGCCAGGTGGTAAGTGATGAGATGAGAATTGTTTACAATTGAGCGCGAGAAATGGCCGTTATGGCATGCTAACCCCTTCTTTAGCTTATACAACCTACGCGTTCTTTGAGTGGTCTTTGATTCTCTATGATGTTGCCTTTGATGCTGTCACGGCCCTAGACTTTCAAAACTTTGAATTATTTGTGGTTGATGTTACGCATGGCTCAAACTTTGCTCCCGCGTCCACTGAAGAAGGGTAAGTAGAACATGATTCTGAGTTGACACATTCTAGCATGACGACTAAGACTAATGGCATTATAGAACCTCTACTGTGACTGAACCCAAAGATGCGGTTTCATCTTCCCTGTTGCGCGCTCTGGCTGATATTAGAGGCTACATTGCTGATGTATATCTCGGTATGTAATAAGCTTCATATTATGTAATTAGGCGTGACTTTCCCATTGTGGATTGACGAACTTGTTCTGCCCTCTTTGCAGCCTTCGTGTTCTGGTCCATGCTGACAGCTTTAGCACTATTAATTTGGTAAGTTTCTTTCCACGCCACCATCGAGTTCAATGTCCGCAACGGAGACCAACATGATGTTTCCCGTACCTTAGGTACTTCCCATTGTTCAATATGGGCATTTCGGGATATGAAGCATTCCTTATTGTCACTATTTCACCCATGTTTTTGGGTATTGGGTCCCTCCGAAGACTAGTTGCTCGTTACCGTGGTGTTTTCCATCTTCTTTCTTTAGCTGGCGTCGCATCGTACATGCTTCCAGAGCCTCCCGTCCGATTGGCTACTTCAGCGTTTGGTATCTCCGTCAGTATGCTAACTTGGTGCGCTACTTGGCTTGAAAGCAAAGATAATGCTGCTGAACTTGATCGTAATATTGTCGTCTGGGGTCTTGGTTTACTGGTTCATAATTTGGTCAAACTCACTTGGTGGACTGAAAATCCCATCTGGCCCATCATGAAGCCTTCGGTTGGAGGACAGAATCAAATTGGATTGGTTCTTGGCATCATTGCCTGTGCTGAGATGCTTGTTCGAGATAGCTTGAAGACCGTTCAGATCAAACAATCCAAGCCCACCAAATCAGCAGCCACCAAGGATTCCTGGTTATTCGCCGCTGTAGGATTCGGGTCTCTGCTGTTTTCTTTGCATTCCATGTTCTCGGACTCATCTACGATCATGCGATGGGTTGTGGATGGCTACCCGAACCCAGGACCTGAACCCGTGCCGTGGGGTGTAGCTACCATTGCCGCGCTTGGACTTGGTATGGTCATCTATCCAATGCGCAGCTTCGTGGTTGGCTACATTTGGTATGCCGTTGGCTGCGGGGCTTGCCTGGCTTTCTACAACCTTCCAGGATGGAATGGGTACTATGGTGGTCTGGTATTGGGTGCTTATCTGACATCTGTTACGCCAGCATTGATTCGATCCGTAGTGTCGCATCCACCGTTCAAGACTTTGCTAACAGCTACCATGGTTTACAACCTTCTTTGTCTCGCGCACGTGTGGGTCGTTGCCTATGAATTTGTTCCCGGAGGTGTTTATGCACGTGAACGAACTAATTGGATCTTTTCCTGTGTCATGATTTTCCTTGGTTTGGGCATTATGAACGCGCAAAAGAGCACAGCATCTCACCAGAGCGTTCGACTTAATGCCATCCGCTCCACCAGGCGTTACACCAGGTTTTTCCTCGTGGCCATCCTAGCCCTCTCCGGACTCGCTAGTTTTTCCAGAACCTCGTTAGCCAAAACGCCTGAGCCGTATCGGCCAGCTGATAAAGCGTTTACTGCTGGTATCTGGACGATTCATTTTGCTCTGGATAATGATATGTGGGCCAGCGAGACCAGGATGCGGGATGTGATCAGAGATTTGGAACTTGATGTGGTTGGTAAGTAACCAGAACTGATGGTGGAAGGAATGGAGTTATGATGCCTAATATGATCATTTTGTTTCTAGGTCTGTTGGAAAGCGATACGCAAAGAATCATCATGGGTAATCGTGACTGGGCTCAATACATCGCAGAAGATTTGGGCTATTATGTCGACTTTGTGAGTGTGCAACGTCCAAGGGGGCTCATGAGATGTGGCGCACAGACAGAGATCTAATGAAACCGGTTTTATCCAATTATAGGGACCCGCCACAATGAAGCACACCTGGGGCTGTCTCATGCTTTCCAAGTTCCCTATTAAAAAATCCACGCATCATCTACTGCCTTCACCAGTGGGTGAATTGGCTTGCGCAATTCATGCAACGCTAGATGTTTACGGGCAAGATGTCGATTTCATCGTAAGCCACAATGGCCAAGAAGAAAATCTGTTAGATCGTCGTCTGCAGACTACCGAATTAGCCCGCATTATGCGCGAGAGCACGAACCCCTTCGTGTTCCTTGGTTACGTCGTTACAAAGCCTCATGAGGAAATTTATCAAATCCTGTATCAAGATGGTCATATTAATGATATCGATATTACGGATCATGATCGATGGTGTCAGTACATTGGATATCGTCAGCTTGCAAGAATTGGCTACGCTCGTGTCAGTCATGGTGGCATCACCGACACTGAAATCCAGACTGGAAAGTTCCAAATTGTGGATGACCCAGCGTCACGCCAAGAAGCTGGATACAATCGTCGTCACGAAAGCTCAGTACCACAACAGCTGCGCTATCCTGATCATTTCCGTGGTGCCGGTATACGGCATCACCACTACCATGTGCTAGATAATGAACCCAGATACTTTGAGCAGTGATGAAAAGAGAAAAAGTGCCAGTTAGTCCACGCGACCCCGTCGTCTGAAGGATAAAAATTTTAAGGCAAAGCAATAAAAAATCATGAAAATAGGTACTAATTTTATTTTAAAAGCTATACTTTTAAAAGCGCTCGCTCGCTCGTTATTCTTTTTCTCTTCCTTCTCTCAACCTACTCTCTCCTTCCTGCCCTGAACATTCTGAAATGACTTTGGAATTCCCAGCACCAATCCACTTTTTGCTTGTGGCTCCAGACCCAAGGAACCATTCAATCATTGATGTCAAACGCAAAGATACTGGAGCATTGGTCTACCGTAAGATCCGCCATATGGTCCCAAACCTGTATGCCCTTAGTTTGATACGACCTGGTATGGAAAAATTTCCAAGCATATTTTTTTTTTGTTCTAGGCGCACAAGCGCGTTTCAGCTAAAATTCTATTTTCAATGCATTTACCCCCCTTTGTTGCTCCACCTCCTTTTCAGATACATATTCGGTTCTGACAGAGACACAGTCACTATCGTCCTCAAGCAAGGAGAAAGTTATCGTGCTACAGGAACCTGAAAATAGCGTCCGTGTGAGGCTCAACGGACGACTGGGATTTGAATGGATCTTTGAATGGGAAGGTCACAAATTGAGATGGTAATGCTGCCGGTTGCTAAAAATATACTTTCGAGAAATCATTGTTCACCCGTTTCTTTTTTTGTAGGATAAAAGAATCACCGCTAAGCAACACTTTAGAATGTCATGTATTGTGCACAGGTAAGCTACACCTTCCATACCAGCCTTCTCTTTTGCATGTTTACCATTAACACCAACCTGTTTCCATTTTGACTCAGACATGGAGATCTGTGTTGCGCAGTATCTGCCTCGAAATGGCATCAAAGGCTCATATTTTGGAGTATACTCTGTTTGGGAGAGCAATCTTGGTTTGTGCGAATTGAAGGATCCACTAGGTCTCAAACTGACTATGATGACCATTTTATTCACATTCTTCGACAAATCCGATGACGATAAACGAAAGAAAAAGGATATTAACTACCAACTGGAGTTGGAGTTTCAAGACTTGACGCTGGAAACCCAGAACATCATGGACCAAACCAAGCTTCATAAATTGGACTTGGAAACCGACAAAATGCTAATGAAGGCTCAGCAAAAGGAAGACAAACGCACTGAGAAGCAGCTAAAGCGATCTTCAGCTTACAGCAGCACGACCACGAGTCCTGCCTTAAGCCCTATACCCAGTCCTTCCAGCTCTTCCACATATGCTGATGTCGCTCCCTCCACCAAAACCACAAAACGCTCAGCACCATTATTACGCTCTTTTTCCTACTCATCTCGTGATACCCGCAACCGATCGCCTAATAAATTAACTTCCTTCCTGACGCCTTTCACCAAGGTCTCCGCAGCACCTGATGACTCACTGGCTCAAAAGCCTGTTCGCCACCACCAGCGGGCGCTTTCTGTGGGAGTAACCGATATGTCCTCAGTCACCTCATATCATCGCTATTAAAAAAATAAAACCATATATTTGTCATATAGAGCATTTTTACAATATAAACCAGTTCCCTTTTTTTTTTGAATGTTTGGTTTGCAGTGATCCAGGTAGTCATAGTTTTTTGATTAACTACACGCAGGAATGGAGTCTAGCCTTTGCAACAGCCATAAATAGTGGGTCGTCGAATATGAATATCGGGCGGCGTATCTTTTAAAATCTATAGGTCTGCCCCTTCATACCTCTGGAGGATAGGGTCACTTAATGCGTGCCATATAACGTATGTTTCTGATCAAGCAAATGGGGCCCATGACTTTTTACATATGTTTTTGTTTGCGAGTTACGTAATAAGATGTGCGAGCCAAGGGAATCAGGAGTTGTTGGATACCGGTCTGGTCTGGGTACGGCCATAGCCAAGTTTTGAGTAGTCACAATTAATCTCGCCTGGCCAGATCGTAAGCGCATCACTGTGCACACGGATAATACGAAATATGACTTTTTATTGTCCAGGTCCAAAGCATTCTTGAGCCGGTCTACTACAAATTTACGGAAGATGGAATGATAATTTGCGTTAGATAGAATGATCATTTTGCGTTGGATATTGCGTTAGATACTTTTTACATTGTTTGCTTCTTGTGAAAAAAGACACAAACTCACCTCTTTCAAGTATCGCTTTAAGCGCGTGGGGCTTTCGTAGCACCCTTCTCATGATACTACCTCTTATTCCAGGTAAGTTTTTGACCGGTGAGAGCATACGACTTCACGATCCTCCTCATATTCATGGCGGCAAGGATATCTTTGTGCCAAACGGCCTGGTGATCATGACGACGAGTGTCTACAGCATCCAAAGTGTAGGTCCATGGTAGCCGAGGATTAATCAATGTACCAGCGTTGTAATTGGCCCGGCAAGTTGTGCAACTTCTGTGTCGAATTACAGCGCAATCGTTCTTTTTGACACGATCTTGGCATTCATTAAATGGGTGGAGGAATGATATGTTGCCGTCATCGTTTCTCTCACAACACCACTTCCTCCTCTTCTTCCACCGCTTGCCAGGATCAGACGTTGTAGTTTCGTGACCTCTCTTTCCTTGGGGTGTACTTAGGGCAGTTGAAGTACGGATGGCCCTTGACGCCCTCTTGCCCTTTGCACAGCTTGCAAGGCTTCGGGCATTGAGGTGCTTCATGGCCACAGTCTTGGCAGTTGAAACATCTCCTGTTGGTAGGGACCTGGTTCATCATGAAAATCCACATCTCTTCGACTTGCTTCGTGATGGACTCAATCGCTTTGTCCATGGGTTGGGTGTCTTTATTTTGTTTTTGCGATTTTTGGTAGCTTGTTCATCGATATCACTGCTAGAATCATCACTTTCTTGATCTCGATATGCGGGACCCTCGTCCGAGTCACTGAAAGGGTTGTGCTCATCCTCTTCCAACTCTATTGCCTTACGAATGGCTGTATCAAGATCCTTTGGGTATTCTGCACGTACCGCCTGACGGAGTGACTTCGGATTCAATCCGTTGACAAACTGGTGCAACATATCACTTTCGGACAAGGATGCTCCATGCCTGACTTTCCATTGTCGTAAACGGTAACCATACGCCTGCGCCGATTCCTTGTTCTTCTTTCGGATGGTCGGGGTTTTCTTCAGTGGGCGGTATTTCTTTATCTTTAGCCCAAATCGCTCCACGAATACGGCGGCGAACTCCTGGAAGTCAGTATACTTGCCGTCGTAGAACCAGACTCGCATTTCTGATTTAAAGAACATCGGGATGAACATGAGCTTGTCCTCATCGGTAGTCCACACCTGAACTTTGGCTGTCGCTTGGAACATCTTTAGCCAATATTCCGGGTTTTCTTTGCGGGAGTATCTAGGCAAGGGTAGTGAAATCATCATATTTTTTTTGATGTTGCTGTTTTCTTAGGATTTATGTTAGGATTTATGAGAGTGTAATCGCCGGTAAGAACTCGTTGTTTCTTTAAGTTGATAGAGTTGTAATTTTGGGGTTTCAGACCGAACGAGTTTGCACTTTCTGGTAGAAGGCACCAAATGTCGTAATAAAACTTTGATTTACTATTAAATATGCCATGGAGAGATATATCTGCTAAAAACAACAAATGTTCGAAATATGTCTTTCCTTTAGAATTGCTCGTAACAATAGCCAAGATCAAGGGGAAAGATACTTCCAAACTTTTATTTCACTTTCATTGCGCACCTTTATACTGCACCAACTGACGACGTCAACAAAATCAGCATTTGTGTAGCGTACCACGAATGCAAAAAGGTTTTGGTGAGAAAATTACATTTTCTATCACGTTCACACTACAAATGCTATATCACGTGCTTCACGAGCTGAATGAAATGCGTGACGACACCTCCAGACTTCTTCCTCCAAAATGTGTGCTCAAGGTAGTAGGACTGCTTTCTCGACCTTCAATTCCTATGGACGATCGCAAACGGCGATTAGGAGCAGACGATAATGCCAGCAGTGTATCCAGCACTGCGCCTAGGCCACCTCTCAAAAAGAGATTCACTGGCACTGGCCCAACGAACTTCTCGACCCCTTCGTCGCCTGTAAAGGCTGAACCGATGCAACTGGTTATTGATACTAATGTCTTGGACGTACGTTTATTGCTTACCTTTCATTATGGCTACTCTTTGGTCTCGATTACTCTTCTCATGTCTTCTTTTTATCTAACAGCCTGAAAAAGAATCAAAGTATTCCTTATTGCGAAGCATGAAGGAATCAAAGGTATGCAATCACATTTTCAAATACCCGACTATTGCACAACTATGCTAATTCCACCGATCGAATCACAGGCAGAGCTCCATGAAGCCGAAGAACGGATTGAGGAACTGGAATCAATGAGTAAATCTCTTGGAATGTCTTTCTTCACTATTGATGTGTTGTGGAAAATGGTACGTTTTGAAGAAGCAGCTGCTATGATGACAGTGTATTTATGAGGTTTTCGTTACCAGACCCAAGAAGACCTTAAATTGATGCAATCAACTGTTCAATCTCTCAATGACAATGTTACTTTTGGTATGGAATCATTCGCAAACTCATGGAAAAGTCTGCTTCTTCATATACTGATTTGTAATCTCCAGACTCTCAATCTGTTCTCTCTGAAACCCCACTGGGAAAAAATGAACTTAGCAACAATTTAGAACAAAGACACCATGACACTACTAGCTTGGCGAAAAAGGTTGTATCAGCTGTAAAACTATCGTTAGAAAAGGCAGATCGACTGAAGCAAACCATGGACGGAGAAGCTGGTATGAACAACTATCAAGGATGACCACCATATCGTCTTTTCTTTACTGAATTTTCTTACTTCAGATGCGACAAAGCGTAAAGAGATAGCGGAAAAAAGTGTGCGTGCAGAAATGTCTGAACTGGACGGTCTGGCCGGTCGACTGGCAAAGTTAGTACAAGACATGGATCATCAAATCAATACTTTATCAAGCCAGCGCGGAAACATGAAAAGCGTGCTGGAGAATGCTTTAAAGCAAGTTCAAGCCGACGAAGAAGAAGCTGAAAGTGTAAATGCAGAATTGCAAGCCGCAGAAAAACGTCGTGACCGATCACGGAGCGCATATATAGCATCTCTAGCCAGCGGTGGACTTGGTGGTAAATTGGAGAGTAGCACTGAAGGTAAACCCGCAGATGAATCTGCACAAAACAGCACAGTGACGACACCGACGAATCAGAACGAAACCAGTATCATTCGACCCGATACCGTTGAAGTGTCAAACAAAACAATTGACCAGGCCCTCATGGAGCAAATTGCGGAAAATCAAATACTAGTAACCTATCGTCAAAAGGAATTGGATACATTAAACAATGAAAGACAGCAGTTACGCCAGGATATTGATCAACTTGCGGCGCGGGTCGCCAACATGTCTTCTGATCGCCTGACTGATACTGCCTACTTCAAAAATTTACAATGTTCATACGAATACTTCCAGGACAAGAGCGATGCTTTGGAGAATCGGATCACCCAGTTGAGCCGTGAATGCGATACGTGTCGAGCAGATATCCGAGTTTTGGAAGAGCAAGCACGTTTCAATCATTCGACTAGTAAAACTGCTATGGAGACGGAGATTCGACGACTAGAAGGTGATTTGGCGCGAATAAAGAAGACAAGAGATCACTCACAAGCTCTGCTCGACCAGATTCAAAGTCGAGAAGAATCCGTTATGGCCAAATTTAATGAACAAGTACAACTTCTAGATACTCGAAAGGTAAGCACGACGTCTATCAATGTCCCCAGTTGTCATCGATGCATGAAAGCTAACCTTATGTATCTTCAAGGCCGATATCCAAGCTGTTGAAGCTGATATTAAGCGACTGCAACAGAGTAACTTGGAAACGACGCAAGGTTTGTTCGAAGCTCTGGGAATACCTCAAGCTGAGGCTGATGCTATTCAAGAAGCACAAGCGCGCATAAAGTACGTACATCGAATACTGTATGATAAGCGAGACATGTGGCTAATCAGGATTGTAGGCAAGCGGAATCACAGCTTGAAGATGTTCGCGATAAACTTGCGGCCTATGATTATGCGAAGAGTACTACGATGGACATAAAGTCACTTGAAGATGCTGAATATAAAGCTCGACATGAGGCAGATGCTCTCAAACACCAAATAGAAACATGGTCAAAGGAATATACTGGAGACCATGTGCGATCTGACGTTAAAGAAATGATACAGAAACTCGTGCAGCAAAATCGAACTATCGAACAGCTAAAAATGACAGTGGAAGTTCTTGAACCTGTAAGGCATCATTTTTACTGGAATATGTTGAGTATAATTGAAACCAACACATTATTACCTCTATATAGTGCGAGGCTACTATTCTCACTCAAATTGATCAAGATGGTCTTGCCCATGATAAACTTCAAGAGCAAAATAGCCGCGAAGTGTTTAGTTTCATCGTCCATAATGACACCATTGCAAAATTGCGGGCCGAGGTAAGCAGAACAGTATATCTTTTTCACCATATAGAGATTATCGGCTAAGCGATGGTCCACCCTACTAGATTGCAAAATATGCACAGACTTTCTCACGCTTAAAGAGTCAAAGAGAAGTCGAGGCTAATCGTATGCATGGGCTCAAGAAAACAAACGAGCAGCAGTCAGAGCATATAAAGCAACTACATGAACGTGAGCAGAACCTGTTAGGTCAAGCGGTGAGTTTTCGATTTCTCCTTTATAGACATTACCAACGATAACTGATCGACGTGTTGTTGGCTATTTACAGACAAGTAAATCTCAAGATCTTACTAAGAAGAAATACGAAATTGAACGAATTCGACTGCAAATAGAGGCAGGTACAAACAACATCAAGGAGCTTAAGAATAAACTTTCCGAGCAAGAGTTCCAAGCAAATGAGGTAAACTATTTCTACCTTTGGACCTATGTTTAATGTACTTATCTGACATACCATGTTTGCATATATCAGCTTCAAAAGACATTCAACGTCAAAGATAAACACCTTGAAAAGGCAACGCGGGATAAAGAACAGATTGAACAAGAACTTGAGCGGATGAAGCGAAAGATTGAGTCCATGTCGCAGTCGGACAACCCTGCTGAAGAAGAGCTACGACAAGAATGTGAAGAACTTCGCGTACGTATAAAAAATGTTGGTACCTCATTCTATGTAACCGACGCTAATGCATCCAATTTTTTGTATCACCTTTGCCACAGACATTACTCAAATGCAGTGCATGTCATACAAGGTTCCGATCGCATCTATTGTTACGTTGCATGCATACTTTCTGTAAAGAATGTATCGACATTCGCATTGGTACTCGCCAACGCCGATGCCCGAGTTGTGGTGAATCATTTGGATCGTCAGATGTCCGCCAGTTTTACTTTTAGACACAATTTAATATATTCCCCCCATTTTCAAATTATAATAAAACCAATACAATCATTCAAATATCTTAAGGTACAACAGTAGGATCCCAACCTATATCATAGTGAAAGCAAATGTGAGTGACATTGTTTATTACCAGCATCCAATGCAGCGATACTTACCAGTCAGCAGATATTCATCTTTGTCGTTCAAGATCCTCATGTCGCTATCGCAAAGGTCAAAATCGAACACATTAACGTTGCTCGCAATACGTTCTGGAGTCACACTCTTGGGCAAGACAATGTACCCATGTTGCAAAGACCATCGAATAAGAACTTGGGCTGGTGATTTGTCGTATTTGGCGGCAATCCTTACTAGATCTGGATCGTCCAGCTTGCGGCCCTTTGTGAGTGGTGAATAAGCTTCGATCTTGATATTCTGAGAATTGCAAAAATCGACTAGTTCTTCACGAGTATTCCAGGGATGAATCTCAAGCTGATTAACGACAGGACGGATGTTGGGGTTTGATCCGAGGAGTTCCTTACTATAAATTTGCACATCAGCATTTCTGTTTGAGAGCGAGCTAAAAGCAATGGCATGCAGAACTTACAGATGTTGGATACCATAGTTTGACACACCTAATGATAATTTTGAAGAAGTCAAAAAAACGTCAAATCATGGCTTGATTGCACAATAGTGTACCACTGTTACCTATACTCTTAACTTTATCCTTTGCAACCAATTGTTGCAACGCATCCCAAGTCTCTTTACGACGCTTTGGTCCAGGATTGGGCGAATGGACGAGATACAGATCGATATAATCTAAACCAAGTTTTTGCAGAGACTCTTCACAAGCTTGAATGGCTGAGTCGAACCCTTGATCTGCCTCAACGAGAACATGTTGGCGACGCTATACAAATTTACATCTCCGAACAGACTTCGTTACTGACCTGCATCCTTTGTCATGTACAAAGGAACGCCATTAGATGTATGAAAAAACCAATTGAAAGAAAAATAAAAAGTTGCATTACCCATAACTTTGTGGTGACAAAAATCTCATCTCGAGGTATACCACTAACATCCATATGAGCGTTAATGGAATATCGCGATACTCCAAACATAGATGCAATTAATTCACCTTTTAGCAATAGCAGCGCCAACGTCTGCTTCATTTTGATAGATATGAGCTGTATCAACGTGACGGTATCCAATCTGTTGATACTTAGATTAGCATCGTGTGAGAGCTGATGTAGACGAGTATCTGAATCGTACCTTTAAAGCTTCCAATACAGCTGATTGAGTGGATTCTCCTGGTTGTGCTCGGTAGACCCCAAGCCCTACGGCAGGGATATGCCTACCATTGTTAAGGGTAACTTGTGTATTCAAGGTAACGTCAGCCATGATTCGAGAGAATGCGGATAACGGAATTTTTGAACTCCAACCAGCCATACTTTCTTTTATCGGTGAAATTTTCCACCTTCCTTCAGTCCGTCGCATGAGTAGTAATGGGACCGTCATGAACACGGCCAGCCCAAAGAAAAAAAGATCCAAAAAGGCTTTAGAGAAAAAGCATAAAGACCCTTTACCAATCAAATTGACAAATGAATCAGTCACTTGGACTCAATACGTTGTGAATGCACTTTATAACTTGATCGGCTGGTACCACACCAACGATCGACAGTTTAATGGAGAATATCTACGCGAAGGCGGCTGCATACGCATCACAGATAATTTAGATATTCAGGAATTGTATTGTAAAGGTTTCTTTGGCAAAGGGAACCTTTCTCGAAGTGAACCAACGTGGTCTCAGCGCATAGCCGCGGAAGGCAGCGGTAAGTCGACCGTTCAGACTGCCTAGAGAGATGATAACGAATTTCTGATCCCAGCAGACAGATGCCAAACAATTTCTCGAAAATATCACCGAAGCTAGGAGAAAACAAAGAAGAGCTACGCGTATGTCAAAGCTGAATACCCCACCCCTTACCAGTTCACCATCGCAAGCATCACAGAGTGAAGATTGTAACAACAATGAAGTGCGGAACAATTATTATGAAATCCTTGATACGGTTTCAGAAGAACACCTCCAGTTATCATTAGTAGAAGGCTTCTTTCTTGCCTATGGACTAGGATGCCTTGAAATTATGAATAGCGAGAAGGTAAGGATCGACAGTATGTTCAACGCAAAATGCCAGGTGATAGTTCTCATAACGCATTCGAATTTAGCAACCACTCTCAATCATTGAATGTTGGAAACTGTTTTGCAACGACACCCTCAAAAATAGATCGGAGGATGCGGAAGTCGTCAGTAGCATGCCTCTTGCGCAGACGCTACAGTCACCAATGGAATACATTGGATACGATAATCCTTTCATTGTCAAATACGTCGCGTACCATCATTACAGAAGTAAAGCTTGGGTTGTAAAGGATGGCATAAAATTTGGAACTGATTACAGTGAGTTACATTGAAAAAGGAATTACTCTGAGAGTGCAAGTTCTAACGTTCAATGCAGTTATATACCAGCGTGGACCGGCTTTTCATCATGGAGAGTGAGTATTGCAAGAATTTTGGGCTGGAAAACTACACAGATATTGATGTAGTCCACTTCCAGATTTGCCATCATTATAATACCATCATATCATGAAACAAGCAATAAGCAAGAAAATTTATCATGGAGCTGGATTCTAGGTATGAACAGAGTCTGTTCACAAGCGAACAAGGTATAATACTATCTGTGGAGTATAAAGTACCTTTTCATATTACTAATTCTGCATTTCAAGACGCTGGTTCTATGTTATGTCAATTTACCTCCTCAAACAACTGTCCACTGCCTCTCTCCTGAATGCTTAACTCAATATTCCGTCACTGAAATGGCTATGAAGCGATGGATACCAGAAAAGACAAGGAGCTAAATATCATCTAGATCAGATCGTTGATTTCAGATCGAAAGTACGATTGTCTATATATTGGGACAGTGAGATTTGAGCCGGCTCAAATAGTCGCCGTTTTAGGTTGTAATTAAAGAAAACATGAATAAGCGTGTTGTTTTCATCGCATCTGACCGCCAATTTAGCTTCGCTCTTTTACTTCAATTAATATTTCAAAGAGAGCATATATAACATGTGTATTAGGTCGACAGCAAGTCGTCCAATTCTGTCGGTAAGACTGGCACCTACCGGCTACAAGGGAAGCTGCCTGAGTTGCAAAATGGACGAAAAGAAGCAGTCCAAATTTTTAACCAACTACTTCGACAAAAAATGATCATTTCATTGAGCAATTTCTTAAAAACTCGCCATGTCAGATCTAAATGGACCGGCAACGTTCGCAGACGACGGCCGAGCCACTATTGAGCGCACAGTGGAAATAAATTCCATCAAGATCGACAACATCGACAGCTATTATGAAATCGAGCGGACATGTCAGCGTATTCTCGAAGGCGGCTATTCTCGAATAGCGCTGCAGTTTCCCGACGAATTGTTGCCTGATTCTGCTTCAGTAGCCAGTAAACTTCGGGATAGAACTGGAAAGAGCGTCTTCATTCTAGCCGATACTTCGTATGGAAGCTGTTGTGTCGACGAAGTTGCCGCAGAGCATGTCAGCGCTGACTTCATAGTCCACTATGGTCGTTCCTGTCTTAGCCCGTACGTTATGCCTCGGTCTTTGCTGATAACTTCATGCTTTGATGCTAATTATTTTCGATATATAGTACGTCTCGGCTTCCGGTGCTCTATGTATTTGGACAACAATCGATATCAGTGGAGAAGTGCGTCAGCGAGTTTGACAGATTAATTGAAAACAAAGATACACCGATCATTGTCATGTATGATGTGACCTTCTCTCATGCCGCTGGTAATATGTAGAAACCATGTCATTTACACCAATTACATACTGTGGTTGTAATCTAACCTTCATTACCTTTAGACCAGATAAACAATCAACTGAGTAAAATATTTTCTACCGCGATAGCAACTAAAATCACCAAAGAAGCCAACACCAACCACAATTGCCAGGAGACACCTGTTTCAGACTCTCAATCTAGCCAAGAATATGCTAGTACCACAGACGACTGCTGCGGTTCGAGCGCGTGCTGTAAGAAGCCAGTCGTGAACAAGCCTCTCATCAATCCAGAGCAAGCCCAAGGAGGACGGACGTACGTACTTCCTGAAGATGTCAAACTGGAAGATTGTACTATCTTGTATATTGGTGAAGAGAACATTACTCTCACAAACATCATGATGGTACATAACAAATGCCCTGTCATTACGTACAACCCAGAGAAAAAGGAGGCACATAGAGAAACAGTTCCTGTAAATAGGCTGTTGATGAAGCGATACTTTTTGGTGCAAAAAGCGAAAGATGCTGATGTTATTGGAATAGTTGTTGGCACTCTTGGTGTTGGTAAGTTCACGGGCCATATACCGTAGAGCTATGTCGTTGAGATACTTACCTTTTTTGCCTACAATTAAGCGTCTTACATGACTATCATCGATCATCTGAAGAAGCTTATTGCGGCTGCTGGAAAGAAGTCTTATACCTTTGTTATGGGCAAACTTAATGTTGCCAAAATGGCCAATTTTATGGAAATAGACTGCTACGTTCTAGTAGCTTGCCCGGAAAACAGTTTGATAGACTCAAAGGTAAGAAATCTTCATCCTTATAGAGATTATACGTGACGTTAATCTCAATTGCAATCAACAGGAGTTTTACCGGCCCATTGTAACTCCATTTGAATTGGAGATAGCACTGTCAAAGTAAGTATATTACATTTATATGCGGTTGCTGCATGTCATGCTAATCCCCATGTACCAATGTAGGCAAAAGGAGTGGACAGGAGACTATATTACAGATTTCCAACGACTGTTACCGGGGCTTCGGGATGATGATTTTACCTACGACGATGAAGAGGTACAATGTTTAGTATGATTGGTACTAGTGTGAGCATGATTTTAATTAACGAATGGACACTGTCAGGAGAGAGAGGAGAATTTAAGCGACGAAGAGCCTCATTTCTCACTGATCACAGGGGAATACAAGCAAGGTCGAAAGTATGGATCCAAAAAGCTTGATGGTATGAATCTTCTACATCTTTTTTCTACTGTGTTCTCCATGTTCTGCAACAATCAGGAACTAATATTTCCTGGATTGGTAATTCTACTTAGGCACATCTTTATTGGTATCTGGTATCACGGATCTATCGTTACGCAACAATGAATCGGCATTATCTACTCTCCTTGAAAGCCCTTCTGGTGCATTTTTGAAAACCCGAACATTCCGAGGACTAGAGCAAAAGACAGGAGAGCATGAAGCGAGTCTGGTTGAGGAAGGTCGCAGTGGAATTGCCAGAGGCTACTCTACAGAAAAAGATTTAAACACTTCAGCACCGTAGTTAGCCGTAAAAATCAAGGCTTTTTTCTGTGTATAGAAGCTTTTCTTTTTGCCTTATATAAAGTGTCGCTCTATTGTACCTGAGACTTAAATCTCAGGAAGAGGAATGAAGTCATTTTGTCATATTGAGGGGCGCCCTTCAGGAAATAGGAAGTGGCTTGCAGACTGCCATTCCAAGGTGCCGAATTTTTGTAATTTACGCGGTCTTCTTAAAATAAAAGAAAAGTAGAAAGATTGGTAAGCGACCCTAGCTCAAACTCCACAGAGTGCCTACCTTGTGGTATCAGATGACCTGGTGAATTCTATCCATCTCCTGCTGTTCCTTAGGGAGGAGAGCATTGGATCTACAGGGTCCATTTTGCCACGATCCTCTCATGGTGATACAAATTGACATGGCAACCCTTGAGCACCTGAGGAATGATCATAATCGACATGTCCACGCACTTTTACGATTCGTTGCCAGTCCACTGTCGCGACTCAAGATTGTGTGTAGCAGCTTTTTCGTAAAATAGATCACGCTAGAAAGCCTTGCATTGAACCACCATCGTGATGTCCACACTCTATATAACCATTTGAAGCGCTAATATTTAGAAGTGTCAAATCAACTTAGCCCTGACCACACTGACTCTCTCACCCATGGAGAGAGTAACTCTGTGTGATCTCATCTGCAGGCCGGATTTACCAAATCGCATTTGATTAAATGAATGAAATCCAGGGTGATACTATTGGGGGTCGCCGCGACAAAGGGGCCAGCCATGTCACTATTCGCATATTTAATAGATTTATCTGCCATACTCTCAATGCTAAGCACATGTTAGCGCCATATTTATAGTTACGCTGAAGATCGCTTCCTATATTGTTATAGATAGTGCGAAATGATGAGAGTCAAGAACAAAGCTCACAAACTATAGCCAAAACAAAGAGAAAAGAAATGGGGAGGCTCATGCGCGAAAGGAGCGAGTCATCAATCGATTTTCCATTGTTTGTGAAATCTATTGGGAACGTGCATCAGAATGCTTTCACCTAAAGAAGAACATTCCCGCCCTTGCCCTGCGTTTACCCCTATTGAGTACCCTCTCGGTAGGCTGATGCTGACGATTGCGGGATCAGTACTGGAAGGGACTCTTCAGCTATGGTCTAGTATATGCGAGGTAAGCAGACGAACGTAGGACGTGCCAGGTTTATCCGCTCCTTCGGTTTGTGTTGGCACCGAATATCTCTTATATGTATGTAATGAAGTGTATCGTACTGAGCTATCTGGCTCATCTTCGGAGAAACAGTACGCATCTGTTCCCATTATCATAAACACTGCCACAGTTAGAGAGGCAGATCCCTTTAGTGATGAATTTTTCATAAACAAATCGTTTCTTGTGTAGCTTCACTTTTGGCCATACCCCTGAGCTTAGCCATTCCCCTGACTCTTGTGTACTTGTGCCAGGCTTTCGCTATCCTAAGCAAGGAGGCCATATCAAGTGCGCGCGAGGGCAGGGCAGGTCTCCGTCCCTGTAAAATAAAATCAAAACGCCGATGCTGCTACTTTTTCTCCTCGACATCCTATAAAAGGTCATCTATTTCTATCCTGTGCCCCTCTCACCATAGTAAAGCCAGGCCCTCATCCTGTGCACCATTAAAGACCTCTACTTGCTAATATTCCAGCCAACCTTCCAGACATGATGTACGAACTATTGCTACCACAATCACACATGTCATTCCCGAATGTCTCTTCTTCCATAGCCGCCGCTGCGGCAGCAGCCGCAGTATCTCAGGGAAGCGACGATCTCACCTCGTCAACAATTTATACCAACACTTTGTTTGACACATTTCATCAAATGCCTCATGGTGATTTCAAGCCAACCTTTTACAACCCTTTCGAAATAAAGCATCGACGACGCACTTCTAGAGCTCAATTCAAAGTCCTGGAGCGAACTTTCATGGAAAATCCAAAGCCAAGTGCTGCCGTTCGTCGAATCTTGGCCCAGAAATTAAACATGACTCCTCGTGGCGTTCAGGTGTGGTTTCAAAATCGCAGAGCAAAGGCTAAGCTTCAAAAACAGCAAGATGAAAAACAGCGATTGGAAGGCTCTTTGCAAGATGACCCCAGCTCACCAGCTAGCAGTGGTCTTGGTTATTCCTCGCCGAGCTCCAGTAGCCAAGGAAGTCTTAGCAGCCCTTCAAAGGAGACCAAAACCCCACAAAACGAAGACATGTATTCCGCATTCAGTGCTAAAATTCCATTTTCTCAAACAACAAATAACCTTCATGATGAGACTGCTTCCTTATCTCCAAGGTTCCGTGCTGATGGAAATGCTTGGTTCAATTTCCCCAGTAATGATTTTCAAACTCACCAATTCAATAACTTAATAACATCATCAATTGAGCACTCGGCTCCAGGGCCAATGCGTGGCAACAGCATGCGTTGCAGACCAGCGGCAAACTACTCAATGCCTTACAATGCTGGTTTATTGAGACGCAAATCTTGCCCAGGAGACTTAATCAATACCATGTACACCAACATGGCGAGTGCTAACCGAGAAAAACTGCAAGGTATTCCAGAAGATGTGATTCCCAATACTAGCTTTTTGGCGGAAAACATGAACTGTTACATGAACTCGATGCAGGTAACTATTAATGGCTTAAGACAATATACCTTAAAAAAGATAGCAAATCTAGTTTACTGACCCGGAATAACCATTTAGATGCGAGCATCCCGCCGAATGTCCGAACCATGTATATCGAATTATTCTATACCTCCAAACGCCATGGCCAATCCATCCTTTTCTCCTCTGTTATGTAGGGCTTTCTCTATCAACAGCCCAAACGATCAACAAAACAGTGTCATCACTTTCCAACCCAACAGTCCTCCATTTGAACTCCAATCTCAACTCAACGACTTTGACCTTACTGACGAGAACAGTAACTGCCTTTCATCAAACTCTAGTGTTGCCAATGATCACGCGCACCCATTAGATAGCAACTCTGTCGACTCCATCAATCTGCAAATGAATTCGTTTGATCTCGTCAACACCCCTGTCTCTATGAGTATGTCCATATAATTTGCCATCTCCGTTTCATTTTAGGCAGCGCCAAACAGATGCTGCCATAGTTTCGCATAATACTAGTTAGGCGCATGTAATTACCGTCCAATTCTTTATCTTTCATATCCCAAGGCCCTACTTACTTTTTCTTGGTTTTTTCTAAACGTAAAATCCGTTACCTATAGAACTTTCTGTTTTCTCCATCCTTCGTTTTTCTTTTGTTACACAGTTATTGCACCCCCATTCATAGTAGAAAAAATCTATCTCGCTGTCAGACGAAAAGAAAAAAATGTCGCCCTGACATAGTAACTCGGAAACTTCCCTTGACATATACCCTCCATCTATTCGATCTATATAAAGAGACATCTTTCTTTTCACTCCTATAAGCTACGATTTTGGTGGAAAGTAAAGGACCGTAAATAAAGCCTTCAGTGCTTGGCTTGACCCCTTGTTCCCCTTAGCATATGATTTTTTATGTTTGTTTGTCGTGTTCGCCATACCCTTAACCTTTGCTGCAAAGCAGTGGCAAACTTGCAAAGGGACTAGGGAACAGAATAAGTGTATGCTATGTTTTGAATGATCGTAAACATCTCCGTTTCAAAAAGCCCCTCACTGGATAAAGTTTATTCTCATGATGAATGAAAATAATACGATATTACATGTAAATACATATGCTCGCCATTCAAAGCTGCAGACGGCTTTACAGCTTGAGCTTCTTAGAAGGCTTAACGTGATCGGGTAATTCTATAGATCTTGACGCCTTTGGAGCCTGCTCATCAACTTCAACAGAGAATCCGGCGATATAGGGCTTGATGAGACTCATCTTCATCTTCTGCCTCATGCCTTCCAGATCGCCGTCGATTTGAATTCTAACTTTAACTTCTCCAAATATCTTGATTTGTGCATCACCTGAGGTGAGAGAATTTGTGTGTTGATCATACACTATGTCGTTCTTAGAAGTGACCTGATCACCGGAAGTGTAAACCACACCTTCGATACCGTATCTGAATGACATAGAAACATTAAAAAACACTCTAACAAATCAACTCGAGTATAGATTAATTAAATCAAAATCTTACTTTTGTACAAGGACTACAAATCCGTTTCTCAAAATGCGAATGACGTGACCGTCCTCCTCCACCACCTTGTTCCTGAAGAATAAGTTGGTGTACAACTCCACGGAGCTTCTGGCTGCTTGCTGTGCCATGCGATTTCTAAAGTTCAAATCTGTGAAGATACAGGTGCTTAACATTTGCTATACATGAACAGGCTATGAAGGACATTATATTGCTTACTATCGCACAGCTCCTTCATTCTCATCTTATCGGTCAATTCTTGTCCATAAGTAAGATCGGCGTCTATGCAAGCTTCCAACAAGCGATGCACCATAACATCTACAGGGAGTTGAATAATTAGTTTTATGCACCGCAAATGGCTGGCCACTGTGAACCAATATAGGCATACCTGAATAACGACGGATTGGAGACGTAAAATGGGTGTATATAGGACAAGCCAGACCATAATGGCGGAAATCTTGCTCAGCTTCCGTTCCAGACGAGAAATACTGTGCCTGCAACATACATCGGGTAGTCATAATGCGTACCATTTTGTTGAAGTATGGGTCACTAGGTATCTGTCAAAAGCCATATTGTCAGCAAAGGTCTCGCGACGATATCATTCTATGCATGTCCACTGAAAAACGTACCACTGCTCGGTCTAAAGAATCGGATAATTCCTTAGATGTAGAAGTTTCCAAGCTGATGTTGAACTCACTAAGAGCTCGTCTAAGTTCTTCAAAATTGGAGTCGGGTGGGGTTGGATGTCGTCTTAATAAGGCAGAGTCAGGGAATTTAGAATATATCCTTTCAGCTACAGAGATATTGGCCAACAACATGAATTCTTCAACAAGAGCGTTGGTGTCCTTCAACTCTTTCAATTCGACGTCCACAGGATCTTGAGAATCGTTTTCCAGATTGAAGCGCACTTCGGGTGAGGCTAAAGTAAGAGCACCCTTTTCCAATCGTCTCTGCTTCAGCTTCTTTGCAAAGCTATTCAGTGTCCTAATGCCCTTTGTGACATCATCTTGCATCCGACTAACAAAAAGCAAAACCATATGTTAGGAGTGTGAGTTTACTTGTCTGGTAACCTGTTCAATAAAACTTACTCGTCGTCGATTCTATTTTGTGCCTCTTCGTATGTGAAGGAAAACTTGGATTTGATAACCGATTTGGTAAAGTCAACGTTGACTATCTCGGCATTTTCATTCATTTCCTACAATTGAGAATAGATCAGCCACTTGAAGGTTGAGAGATAGACGTACAAAAAGACAGACATACCCAGATACATGAAAATGCAAGCCTTTCTACGTTTGAGCGCAGGGAGCACAGATCTATTGCAATGGAGGTCATGAATTTAGCCTTAAGAACACCATGCTTGTAGAAAGGAATAATCGGTACTCACTGGTTCCCAATAAGGACGGAAGCATATCAATACGTTTGTCGACCAAGTATACGGTCGTTCCACGACCGGCTGCCTCTTCATCCATGGGCATTCCCGGCTTAACAAAGTATGTAACATCAGCAATATCTATAAAAAGACAGTGAGCATCCCAATATCCCGTAAGAATTTTCCGACGAATCTTCAAACACTTACGAACGCCAACCTCAAAGTTGCCATTTGGCAAAGCACGAACGTGTAGAGCATCATCGATATCCGTACAACCAGGAGGATCAATACTGCACACATTGAGATGTCGGAAGTCTCTTCGTCTCTCGTTATGAACATGCTTATCCAACACCACCCAGTCTTCGCCTTCTGCAGGTAAATCTTCCAAAATTCTCTTGGAGAACTCTTGGAATGGAACATCGTGCTCCAGTAGCAAAACTTCAGTTTCCGTCTCCTTGTCACCGGATGAACCAAGTGTTTTGACAAAATGTCCTAACGGAAGGCTGTCAAAAGTGATTAGCTTATTGGCAATCATACTCTACAGATGGTAGTATCCACTTACACAGATGTTGTAGGCCAAGAGTCTATAGCTACAACAATTCTTTGCCCGGCTAAAGTATGAGCTTGTGTAGTCCTAATTTTGATACTAGGTATTCGACGATCCATGGCGCGGAAGATGACGTTTTGTGCCGATGTGGATCCTTCTGTGCCGTGAATAGATTTCTTGCTAATAAAACCACAGTATGGTCTCCATTTCTTTCTGATGATTCCAACCACTTTGGCCGTAGGCATCTCAGGAAGTGCATTGTCAACATCCATTCCGTCAGTATTTTCGCTTTCTGCTTTCATTTCCGTGGCCTCATCTTCATCCTCCTCTATCGCTACAGATGCTGTCTTCTTCCATTCGGATTTTGGCAGAACTTGAATTGCTACAGTATCACCTTGGATGGAACGGTTCATGTTCTTACGACCGACAATGTATACATTCTGTTGTTTCCCCTCCACTGTTGCCATGACAGTAGCCTAGTGATCATATGAATCAGTCACAGCTCTCAATTTCACTTGTGAATTATACGGTCTTGAAGTACTATACCTCCAGATAATTGTGGCCACTAATGTTGAGAGTACCTTGTGAGAATTTGCCGTTCTTCACGCCATTTGCTATTTGAACCTGGCTCAAGTGCTGCGAAACAAAAATTAGAAACAAGCTCTATGTACAACGTTTGTAAGCATTTTCTGCACTTACTTCCTCGTACTCAATCTTGCCATCAGCCTTTGCTTGAGCTTCTGAAGCATCCTTGGCAGACACTACCATGTCTACCAGCTCAGGAGAATCCGTCAAATCAGCTACATAGTCACGAACGGAGCTACATTTTATTGCTGCGGATTTTGCCTTTTCTCGATTGTCTCGGTCATCACTAAGCATGACCACAGTGATTGGTGCCTTTTTCTTGCCATTCGCTAAATGATTAGCGTACCATTTAACAGATACTCGAATAGCTGTTGATATGAGACGATGAATATTAATAAAATGCTTCGTCAGCATATGTCGGGATCAACTATCATTACCTCGGTCGTTTCTATCATTCGGGCTTTCATCCTTCATTCTTTCAATGTAGGTTTCTTTGTGATGCTCGTTCGAAAATGCATAAAAGCGCTTATTTTTGTCGGCAACAATAGCGTTGACACGGTTATAAATTGGCATGCTCAAATGGCGAAGTTCTTCTCGAACAGTTTGTAGAACAATCACATCTTTGATTGCTGGATGCTCCATGATATCAATCTGTAATTTTTAGAAAATAGTGTTCAATGGTCAATCGGAAACTGAGTATTGAATATGAGTTTTCTGTATGCATACTTGGTTCATGAACACGTTTGTATCGGGTACAATATAATGAGGAGTACGGAACGACTCTGTTGCCCGAGGTGTTGCTGAGAGGAGTGCGTCGGTGTGATTGCAAGATTCACATAAGGCTGACGAACACCAGATATCGTCTCTTAGATAGTGCTCTTTGATGACTTTGATGACATTCCCCTTCTTTGTGCGCTTTATGAATGATTTCGCTCTTAATGACATTATGTGAGCAAAGTCGTCAGCTGTAAGATTTTACTGCTCTGCCTTCCACAAAAAAAAATGGAAAAGAAAAGCGTTTGGGACTGTTCATATTTTCAATCTCCGTAACATAAAAAGTCCTCCCCCTTTACGCCCTGGAGTATTGCTCAGATCGTTTCAAAAAAGCAAAGCAAGGTGCAAGTAAACATCTTCATATATAAGTCATTTTTATTTTCATTTGGTGCATAGTATGTTTATCAGCTCTCAGGTTATAGGGCTGACTCATTCTTTAGTTCCTACAAGAGCAAGGTGGTTGCATAATTCGACATCAATGGTATCTTATTTGCAGGTGAAAATGGCCCTTGATTGCCACCCCTTCACTACTGCTTTAATTAGTTATATGGATATCTACAATTTTCTAACCAATAAAGAGAAACAGAGCCCTAGACTTATCCTGGTCTTTTCACCATGACTTATACGCTGCGATACCGTAAATCTCAAGGAACAAAAGGACTGGGTTTGACGCCTGCTCTTTATGAACCTCACGAAGATACATTCGACTATCATGAGGCAGGCTCCAAAAAATATCGCCCACGTTTCTACAGAGTAAACGTCTTTCATAGCAAATCTGAAATCACACTGTTATTGGTAGTCACTGCACTAGCTTTGGCAACTAGGACATGGATGTTGCATGGCATTGATACGAGCGTGTTAGTATATATGCCATATGCTTGTGGAACTAAAAAACTCCATTCAACTGACACAAATCACGTAGGCTTGGAGAGTTTAATACCAGCTATGGTGTTAACCAATACATGAACGGAAAGTTTTTCATAGATCGAAATCCTCCTCTGGCAACCTTGATTTACACTTTGGCTGCCAGATGCTTTGGATACCAAGGACAAAAGAATCTGATGTACATGGGGCAGTGAGTGAATCCAAAAAGCCGTGCACACTCATGCTATGCATATTTACTAATATGTCCCAGACCCTTTGCAGACTTTCCGTATGTTCAGCTACGACTTGTCTCTGCAGTATTTGGAGCACTTCAAGTTCCCATTGCATATATTACTCTGAAGTTGATGGGACACAAATCGCTGACGGCTTTGGTAGCCGCCGCTTTGCTGATTGTCGAAAATGGATCCATTTCGCAGCATAGACATATCCTGACTGCAGCACCGTTAGGATTTTTTGCTGCTTCTTCGATCCTGATGTGGGTGAACTTCCATAATTATCAAAACAAGTAGGTATTATAATGCGGGTGTGAGGAGTGACTCATGTTTCTAAACCGATATTCTATGCTAGCCCCTACTGCTTCAAATGGTGGACATGGCAAACCTTGACTGGCATCTGCATAGGTGGTGCCATGAGGTAAAGCTGGATTACACTGTAAGGTTATGAAAGCTGCGCTAACGCAAAATATCTTTAGCGTAAGCTGGACCGGGTTCCTTTTGCTACCATTATTTTGGGCTTCCAGTGCTCGTCAAATGTGGTGCTTGTTGGGAGACCGAATGAATCCGATTGTACGTACATATTTTTATCTGTATAGGATCTTTCCAGTTCTAAGTGAATGAAACCCGTGATTAGACTTCAATTGTCAAGGAAGTTTCTTCACGAATCTTGTCCATGATAATTATTCCGTTAGGAGTCTATCTTCTGTGCTTCCAGGTTCATTTTCATTTACTTGGCCAATCCGGTGATCATGATTTGTTGCTCAGCCCTGAACTACGATCTTCCATAAACGCGATTAGAGTTGGCTCATCGCAGAATGGTAATGACATAATGATACTAATTGATTTACCATAGAAGTCTTTTTTTCAAAAAATAATGTTTAAAATTCTAGACGTCGCTTATGGCTCCAAGGTTCACTTACGACACTTCAACAGCCATGTTGGCTACCTTCATTCGCATGAACATTCTTGGATAGATGGATCTTCACGTAAGTATTCACTCGCGCATTGACTACATTTGGCAAACTACTGCGTGTTAATCAACCTCGTCCATTCATCGAAATTGTAGAGCAACAAGTCACTGCATACCCTTTCCAGGACCTCAACAATGGTTGGGTGTTGCAAAAGGCAGATTCGTTATGGAATGCAAGCCAGCCGATTAATTGGGTCGAAAATAAGCAGAAGATCAGACTGGAACACTTTTCAACATTAAAAAAGCTCCATAGCCACGAAAAACATGCCCCGATATCGCATAAGCTTTTTGAAGTGACGTAAGTCTAAGATTGCTTTAATGATATATTGCTTCATGGCACACAATTCATCATAACAATTCAGTGCTTATGGAGACATCTTTACCGAGGATCATAACGATTTTTGGACTGTAGAAATTGTTGATCATGACCATGAAGATGCGACATCGAAAGATAGACTCAAGGCTCTGTCCACCAAATTTCGCTTGAAACATAGTCGCGGATGCTATCTGACAGCACACCATGTAAAATTACCTGATTATGCCAAAGGGCATTTTGAAGTAGCTTGCCGAAACGACGCTAAACAGGAAGTGAGCACTTGGTTAGTCGAGAATTCCATACATCCAACACGTAAGTTCATATTCCTTATACCATTGCTGTGAATCTCAAGACGGATACCAAAAATTCAAAATCAAAAATTTAGTTAAAATGGTAGAGACCGATCGTGTGGAATATAAAAAATCAAACTTTTACCAAAAGCTTCAGGAAGTACACGGCTTGATGAGAAACTATGACAAGGTTATTCCAAATGCAGACTCTGTCAGATTTGAAGCTAGTCAACCACACCAATGGCTGCTCAATAGAGAAACCATGCAACTTTGGAAAGAAGATGTTGGTCTCCAAGTCGCGACTGCACTAAACCCAACAGTTGCCTGGACTGGGTGTGCTATAACCGTATTTTATATGCTATTTTCTGTTTTAAATTCTTTACTCTCCAAGCGCGGAATTCAATGGCCATCATTTACAAGGTCTCAAGGAAGCTCGGAATGGAGAGGTGGGTCTTTATTCTGTCTTCTTTGAGTGATAACTTTTCAGCTCACAACCTAATCAAAAATCTTAATAGCATATCAGACTCTTCCACCCAAAGAATTCTACGTACAATCCTTTGGATTTCTGTTCACTGCTATCGTTTCTACCTCAGCTCTTACATATGTTCTACCAATCCAAACGAACTTGTCCGACAGTCTCTTGAGCGTCTATTTCATGATTTTGGGAACATCTATAGCATTTGAAGTTATTACTATTCGCTTAGCACTTGGTCTGCGTTTAATCTTTTTTACTGCCATTTTCGTCGCTTCCTGCTACAGCTTCCTGAAACTTGTCCCTACAACATATGGAACACCTTGGACGAAAGCTGAATGTGAAATATCATCCTCCAAATTTAACTGTCAGAATTACCCTACGCCAACTATCAACACGCAACCTGAGCAAGAGATGCAATCGGTATACGTAGACGTATTTGGAGATACGTATACGATAGATTACCAGCCTGGTGAAGAACATGAGATCAATATCAAGGCTAGAGAAATCAAATTCAATGCTTGGAAGGCTAAAACTCAAGGAACAAAGGTTAAAGAAAGATACATAGGTGTCCAGAGCACTCCGTCCGCAGGTTATGCTGAAGTCAAGGAAATCCGAAAAATCCGGTACAAGCAAATGACTGCAAGATATTTGCAACTTCATCCAGAAAAAGAGCAAGTGAATGATGTCAAGGAAGAAGACACCGCAAATCCGAATGCAATTGAACAAAATAAGAATGGTTCGCAACAAAAAGAAGTTGGTCAAGGTGAAACATCCAACGAATCTCAAGAATCATACCAAGTTGCAGTCGGACATGAAAACTCACAGTTCAAAGGACAGGTGAATGATTCAGAGGGAGAAAATATGGCCAAGGAAGAACAACAGCATCAGGTATCAACCCTGGAAGTTGTCAATGCTGACTCGCCTGAGCAGCAGGTTATTTCAGAGGAGAAAAGACCTCATGAAGAAGTGAATAACAAGCAGTCCGAAGAAAGCAAGATACAAGAACAGCAAGCAATGAGTACAAACAATGAAAATTCGGAGGTCGTTCAAGAAGCACAGCCGATACAGGATGATTCGGCACCTGGGCAAGTTCAGCAATACCAAGAAGGAGATTCAGTTTTAGTAGAAGTTCAAGCCGAGCTACATGCTCAAACGACAGTACACGCAAAACCTGACCAACAAATTGACTCCATCGAGCAACAAGTGTATACAACATTTGTAGCAGTTTGATATTTGTTATAAATCCATCTCCTTGGTTGGCGAAAATGCCACATAGCATGACATGCAAGATATATTAATGAATAAAAGATCTTGATGTACTTCACCATGAGTTTCTAGTCGATTAGGGCATATGATATACAATCCATGAAAGCTTTTTTCTGCCGCTCTAATTAACAGCAAAATTTTATCCTGGCCGTCTGCGTAAAGGTCCGCTTTTCCTTTTGACAGCGGGAGCCAGGTACCGATAAATTTCTCCCCAAAATTTTCGATATAAGACAGGTTGTCACTCCTCATCATCATCAGTCCGTTATAATGAGCGTTGAACAAAAGAAATCTTCCTGTCGCCAGGTTCTCATCATTGTGCTTGTTGCTCTCCTCGCCATCTTCATCGGCCTGGATCAAATTAAGGAGCGCTTCTACATCTTTGATCAGAACGTTCTCCAACAAGTTGCGCAACGCAACATTGCAAAGTATGAGAACAACACCCGTTTGTTGATGCAAGGTATCGCTGACGACTTGAACAAGGAATATCCTGGTCACGTTGCTCTCAAGGAAGAATGGGTCTTCAACAACGCTGGTGGTGCTATGGGTAGCATGTGGATTCTCCATGCTTCTATCACCGAGTATGTAATTATCTTTGGCACCCCTGTCGGTACTGAAGGCCATACTGGTCGCTTCATGGCCGACGACTACTTCATCATCCTCGAAGGTGAACAATGGGCTTATGCCGCTGGTGATGTTAGCCGTGAGGTAAGTTATTTGGGTCAATTGTTTCATTTAACTGATGTCATCTTTAACATTATGAGCTTGTCTAGGTTTACAAGCCAGGTACCATGCACCATCTTGCCAGAGGTAACTCTCAGCAATACAAGATTCCTGAACATGCTTGGGCTTTGGAGTATGCTCGTGGATGGATCCCCTTGATGTTGCCTTTCGGTATCTTTGATACCTTGTTCTCTACCGTCGACATGGTTACTCTTTACGATACTTTCCGTCTTTATGGAAAGGCTACTGTTAGAGAACTCTTGCAAGGAAAATTGTAAATGATAATCGTTATCTAATCGCGATCCAAAAATTGCTTGATCTTTGCTTTCCATCGTTGTAGACCTTATTTTTAAAGGAATCTAATGTTTCTAATATTAGTATTAATACTGAAGCAATTAAAAGCTTATTAATTTAACTATTTTTTGAGGTACTCAAAGATGTCCATCCATTAGCTAGCATAGGAATGGTCCTACTTTCTCATGTATACTTCTCACGTCATATTTCGAGAAAAGGTGGATTTTGGCCACCATAGTAGGCAGCTCCCATATGGTCTGAACTTCCAGACATATGCTTGAATTCACGACCTTTAAGCACGTAGTGCATTGATCACTTCAATGGAAATTATATTCTTTGTATGTTGATCATGTTTTAACTGACGTGCTGATCTGGTAAACAACAATTTGTATAACCGTACGTCGTCAATGTTATATTGCCAACTTCCATGCAGAAAAGCCATCCCTAAAAAACAGTTTTAAAGGCTATTTAACCCGCCCATCACAGTCTATTGTGAATATAATGATTTTTTATTCAATTGATCAAAAACGATGACCAGTGCCATAAAAGATGTTCTCGGATGTTACCAGCAAATAACAAATGATGGGGTCACCAAATGTCAGGCCAGGCGGAGATGCAAAACTTTGTAGGTTGGTGTCTTTGCCCTTCAGCCGAAGTGAACCTTTGTTGACTTTACTACCATTATGGAAGCCATCGATGGCCTTGCGAACGAGAACATTGTGCGTTCTGTTGCCTTTGCTGCTCTGCAATTTCGACAGCAGCGCAACTATGATGGACTTGTCTCCATTTCTACTCAACTTCTACAACAAAGATTCCGATTCTTAGGTACTCAAGCCGATTCCAACGATGACGATAAGGACTTTGTAGTTCAATGGCAAAAAGATGAATCGCCAAAAGCAATCGATATCATCTGGAGTGGACATGAAGAAGATCTATATCAGAGCAAGATCTATTACAAACGATCCGATGCGGAAACATTATATGCTATGGTGGAGTTTGCAAGTCAGGACGAAAAGCATTTTGTAGTCGTTGTCGCAAAAGAAGACGGTGCGGAAGAGCAAGAATGGAAGTACCACAATACTAAAGTCATCGACAGCACTGAATGGACAGATGTCATTCAGAAGGAGTGGGACACCAGAATAGAAGATGCCGAGAGAAGATTTTTGCAGAACCTTACCAAGCATAATGAAGATCTAAAGAAAAAGAGGAAAGAAAAACAGCACAAAAAGAATGGAAAGAGTGCAATAAAACGGTCTCCTTCACGCGAGGTAGGTTGATTTACAATGCTTTTCTGTGGTATCGCATACTCATAGTTTTCAATCACTATTAGGACAGCCAAGGTCGGTTGGCACCAGATGATTATTGGGGTGACTGGTCATCCGAAAACCCTTCCCAAGAAGCATCAGGAGAGAGTGAAGTTTCAAGCGATGCAGATAGCGAAGATTCTGAGGATGTATACTACAACAATTGGAGCAACCACCCAGTAGAAAACGAGGGTCATTCAGAAGATGACATGGGTACGGAACACGTTGCACAAGGTCAAACCAGGGAGATGAGATCACCAAGCCTTTTCAAGCAGTTGGATTTTAACTTTAAGGCAGACTCACCGTCTTTGATGGAACAAGAAGAAATTCAAGAAGAGTACGATAACTCACACAATCCATTGTTTACCGTCCCAAGTGTTCCCAATTTGATGGATATGCATACCTCAGCTTTGCAAGAACTTACCTCCATTCTCAATACGACAATACAACCCGGCGAAGGAAAGTCCAGAGCTATTAATATGAACCCCTTACCCAAAGTCATGTATCAAAGACAAATGACAGACGATGCAGACTATGATTATGAATCAGTCAGTCGGCCGGAAAGCATTAAACATGTAAGCAGACTTCCTGGAGGATGGCCAGAATCCCGACAGGAAGATGATGACTCCAGTAGTTACCACTCAACACAGATCAATCAACATCAATTGGCCGCTGATCAACCAGAGCTCTCAAGCTCATCCTCAAAATTCCCTTGGTTCTCACAGAATGGATCTAATGCGGAAGCGAATGGCAGCGACACTCGAGAGACTGCAAAATCTTTCCTTATGAAAAGCTTGAGCGCCTTGATTGGTGTTGCGCGCATGCTTGGCTTTACGGGTCAACAAATATCAGAGATGGTCGACCAAATTGTGAAACAGCAGCCCGACGGCGAAGTTCAAAGTCAACAAGAAATCGTAGCCGACGATCAAGACAAGAAATAGTGCAAAGTTTAAATAGATAATACAGATTACGCAGTTTACAGCAGTAATGTTTTTTTTTTCGCGCGCAAACCCGAAAGTTTGCCATCAAATGGGCCAATGATCTACAGCCGAACAAGTCAACTTGCGCAGTATGCTCTCCAATGGTCGGTGAGGTTGAAGCTACATAATTATATTGAAGTCGCGTTTTGATTGAATCAGAATCATTAGCAGGCATAAATAAACCAGCCAGATTCAATGTTGATAGTTTTTATTTTATATATTTATTCCATGGTTAAAAGAACAAAGTCTAAGCGGATTTAGCGGTAAGCTCTGGATAAAGAACGGGTTAGTCATATGTCACCACACTTCCGAGGATATCTTTCCACATGAAACAACCACTTACTCTGAACGTCAAGAACAGCTTGGTCCAAGATTTGTTGTTGAACCTTGGGGTCCTCGAGATCCTTTTGGATCTTCTCAATGAGGAAAGCAGCAAGTTGCTTCTGCTCACGCTCACGGACAGTGGCTTCGTAGCGGACCCAGGAGTCGAGGGTAGCCTTGACTTCTTGAGCGACGGAAACCTTTTGCTTGAGTTCGAAGGCCTCGGCTTCAAGCTGAGCAGTCTCGCGGGAAAGAGCGAAAAGGTTCTTAGTAACATCAACAATGTCCTTCATTTGACCAACTTGGTCGATGCGCTCATTGACAGCACTCTTGTGGTCGTTACGTGCCTTGTAGAGGACGTTCTTAATACGCTGTATTGATGAAATACATGTACTGGTTAGTAATCAGTCAACTTTCAATAGATGTAAATAATGTAAAACGTACGTTGATGTGCTCATCAGCCATGCTGTTGTAAGGCTCCTTGAGGTACTTGAACAAAGCACCAGCAAGACCTCCGAAAGCAACAAGAACAAGAGTTTCCTCGTTGAAGACGTAGATTTCCTTGGAGATAAGGAAGGTGGCCAAACCAGCACTGAGGGTGACGAAACCGGTCTTGGAGACAAGGGAGTTTCCAGGCAAGGAATCGACGATGCTGGAAGCCTTCTGCTTGGGTTCAACTATTATTGACAATAAGTTAGTAAACTATCATTCAGCCTAAGTTAATGCCTAGTAGGTTGCATGGTGAGGATTGGCAAACATGCATCAGCACAGGGCGGTTTGCCGTTCGCGTTATGAAAGCATCAACCGAATGAAGATGTGAACCTGTGGTTGGCGACATAATACAGTATTTCGCAGTCGTGCCATACAGTTGTTGGTCGAAGTGCAGTAGCTACTAGGTTACTATTTACAAGATTCGCGGTAACATACCTTCGTTGCTGGAGTAGTTGCGAACGCTACAGAAAAGAGAATATTCAAGAATGAGAAACGGTAATGGATGTAATTACAACTAATCTCGAACGCTTACAAGTGAGCACCAACGGTCTGGCGGGAGGCGGTCAACATAGGACGAGCAGCAGTAACTAAAAAACATTCCATGTGTGAGCGTGATGAATGAAACCTTCGATACTAATGATGTGGTTGTTGTAATTACCTGCAGCTCCCTTGGTCAAAAGTCTGAGAGCCATTCTATATACGTAGACAAATAGGAGTGAATGAGTAAGATGAAATTGATGGTGACGACTTATTGAATGAATGCGCAAACGTACTGGGTTATCTGTGTAGTAAAGAAAGGGACCAATATTGTCGAATGTGTATGTACTTTTGACCCCCTAAGCCACAATTTTTCTCGCCAGGGTGCGCTCATGCTGTGGTCTACGTCACGTGTGGTGACGTCAGCAAATAGGAAAGAATCGAATCTTGCCACCCAAAATGCCATATACTCATGAGGCAACACTTCGGCTCACAAGCTTTGACATATGCATAGATCCTTACATATGAGGAGGTGCTTTGTACGGTATTATTCAAATTTTTACAGCGACTTTTTTGGCAAAATGTGAACGCAACACCTCGTAGCCAATAAGTGACTTCAGTTACTACAGATTTGATCACTTCCACATAGTGTCAAGAGCCGCCCTAACACTAGCCTTAGCAGATTTACTCTCTTCTATCTGTGTATTCCAATGTTATATTTTGCTGTGAATGTACAATTGTGTTTATTTGGGCTTCATGAATTTGTTGCCATTTTCATTTGATTTGCCTCGCTTGGGAGCATTGCTAGCTCCGTCTGTCTGCTTCCTCTTATTGTCTTTCGATACAGAATGCGCTACTCGTGATATTCCTTTGCTGTATCTTTTGCCCATATCTTTGTCACTAATCTCATTCGCCTTTTCTTCTGCCGTTTCACGGGCAAGTCGTTGCTCAGAAACTTGATCCTCTTCCGTGGTCTACGATGTGATGATGAATTAATCTCTGTTTGAATCCGTCCTATTGTGCAATTAACCCTCCATTACCTCTAGATCCGTATTAAACTTTTTATATGACTTTCTTCCCAAGGTCGTGGTATCTGTGAATCCTAAAAAGCTAGGTTCATATTGCACTCGTATTTTTCTAAATCATCACTTGTTAGCTACATGAGTATGCATGAGTTCCGTCGTTCATGGTTGCTACTCACGGCTTTTGTAGCTTTTCCCCTTTGTATTCTAGCCGCCATTCTGATGTTGAGAGCTCTTTCTTTTGCACCTGCTCCAATTCCTCTCGTCGCTCACTTTCAGCTGATCGCTGCATAAACTAAAATAGCACTCGTTAAAATGATTGTCATGTACAAAAGTTTGATGTGTGCTAATCAGTACCTTCATTGCTAGAAGTTTACTCGATGGTTTTTTCGTTGATTCAGGCATGATAAGTACTGTAGTTTAAGGAATTGAGCCAGTGCCAAAAAAAAAAAAAAAAAAGTTCCTTAGGTATGCCCGGGTAATTTTTGTGATAACAGTCCACCTCTCTCACCCTGTACTGTAATGCGTCATGTCCGGCCAATGCAGTATTTATGAAGAAGTAGCGACTCAGCTTGTTGGGCTAATACAAAAAGAATGCGCTGCTTGTGTAATCCAGGAGAAGAATGGTGGAGATGTTTCTGTTTTCGTCAAGGGCTTATTACTGGGTCAACTAAGCGTCATAATCGTAATTGCGTTTGTGTTGCGGTATATGTTTTTAGAGGACGTTCACCAGGGCAAAAAGGTAGATCTACGAATGGTGCTTTGTTACTATATTTTGTTGTACTTACATATTGCTTATCCTTATTCCTAGCAATTATCTCGCCTATCGCCTGCAGCAAAAAGCCAGACAAATATGAAACGCGTGCCTTCGTCAACAGCAGCTAATATTCTCGACAAGACATTTTATGACCTTCTACATCACCCACCGGAAAGCACTGACTGGCTTAATGTACTTCTGGCACAAACCATGTCACAATACCGTGATGATGCGCAGCTAAATGATCGTCTAATATTGGCCATCGACGAGGTGCTCAATGGCGGAGTCCGACCTGGTTTCTTTGTATGTATCTGACTTTTAGAACACGATCGATGAGGTTACGCATTTCCTAATCATCCGTTTTCATTGACTTTTGTCTATGTAAACTGCAGGGCCCAATCCATGTGACTGAATTGTCCCTAGGAGACGAGTTCCCGATTTTTAGTAACGCTCGCATTCGTCCGTCCGATGACATTGGCTCTATGGTACGTCTTGCATTCAATGTTCTCCATGGAGGCTGCGTCAGCTCTTGCTAAATTGATTGCTTTACAGAGGGCAGAAATAGATTTCGAATTTTCGGACCAGTTATCTGTAGGGATTGAAACGCAATTGATATTGAATTGGCCAAAGGTCGACTTTGCAGCACTACCTATCTCGCTCTTGCTCTCTGTTGTTCGATTTTCTGGTACTTTGACGATTGAGCTTATAAATCCTCCCGAAAGCTCGACTGGGTCAACCATCCCCCTGGATCGATACGTTGCTATATCGTCGTATTCTGATTTTACGCTTGACTTTGCTGTACGATCTCTCCTTGGTTCCAGAACGAAACTTGAAGACATCCCCAAGCTCACTGATCTCATTACAAGCAAACTACGGAACGTATATATGGATAGGCTAGTGTACCCCAATTTTGTAAAAATCAAGATACCCAACATGTGGGAAGCTCGAGATCGTAAGACAAGAGAGCAACAACAGGCGTTAGATGAGAAGCTCTCTGATCCACCTGAAAGTGGGCTCACTGCATCTGCAAAGGAAAGAATAGAAGAATTTGTTGAGGATATTAAAGACGCATGAATACAAAGCATTTGTAAGCGCGATTTTCAGTTCGTTGTATCATAGAAAGGTTTTCTCAATGACATTAAAGTAATCTGTTTAGAATATTGACCTTTTTGAATATCACGGCCGAATTGTTTCCGGTCAAACAAGAATGACAAATGATTGCTTACGCAAGTCTATGCGTTTGTCTACGGCAGGCACACTGACAATGAAAGGCAAATTTGTAAGATCGGAGTTTCAAAATAATTTCGAGAAACATCCAGCACTCTGTGGCAGGCCCAAGATGTTGCTACTGCAATATAAGCAGCGATTCTTCCAGAATGAATGCCTTCAATATAAATACAACACCTTTTTCCGTCTATCTTTCTCTTCACTCATTGTTCAAGACATGTTTACCACTTACCAATTCTCGGAGCCTTATCCCACTGACTATGCTCTGGATCCTTTCCAGTCAAGCTATAGCTACTATGCAATGCAACAGGAGCTCAAGAAGTTGTATCGACAACAGCTCATTGAACAAGAACGAAGACGCCAGGCGGCTGCTATGGAGCAAGCCATCATTGCTGCTTACGAAAGAGAGCGCATCGTACGAGCTGCCAAACAATTAGCCTACCAGCGAGAGGTTGCAGACCGTCGCAGAAGACAATACGAAGAATTCTACCAAAAACAGCTACTGAACAATTTCCTTGGTAATCTACTATCCGAAGACAACGAGGACGAGGAAATGAACGACGATTGCTGCGCTTATGATTATGAAGCTATGCAATGCAACAAGAGAGCCAGACTTTACCACAAGGAACCCAAGCCACTCTACAAACGTCAAGATACCTCTCCAAGAAAGCTGCATCATAGACGAAAATATCAACAACAGCAAGAGGACAACGAAGTATGGCTTCTAGTCCAGCATCTGAAGTCTGTTGATGAAAATGAAGCTGCAGAAGCCTCGCAATCTACTGCGGCAGTTGCCGATAAGGGCAAAGGCAAGGCTGTTGAAAGGGACGCAAATGTAACCAAGGAAACTTTTACTCAGGCTCCTAAAAGTAACGATGATCATCCTTCAGAGGAAAATACCCCAGTAAACGTGGAAACGGTCTTAAGAAAGCTCAAGACAATTGGTGAAAAGCTCGATGTTATCCAAGAAAAGCACGAGTCTGTCGTGTTGGCCACTCCCTTGACTTTTGATACAGAATCCGAAGACCTCTCACGAAGTGCACCAAACAAGGAATTCTTCTCTTATGAAGACGATATCATGAAGGTGCTTTTGGAATTGGATGCAGTTGAAAGCTATGGATTAGAAGATATCAGAAACCAACGCAAGGCCCTTGTTGCTAAGTCTGAAAATTTACTCAAGATCATTGACGAATACAAGCAAAAGGAATGGGAACGAGCTAGCGCATCAAGCGGAGCCGAAAGCGATACTGAAACTGATAAAGACGTCACTGAGGATTCACAAGTTGAAGCTCCTGTGGGCACACAAGTCGAAGTCACTGAGGATGCACCAGTCGAAGTCATTGAGGACCAAACTGAACCAATGGAAACGGAAGAACAGGAAACGACAAATTTAACTGGCCTAGTAATTGATGCACCCAAGGAATCCAATGTTCAAGAATCGACTCCTGAGTTAGCTGAAACATTAGAGACACAATTGCCAGGAACAAATGTGGATGCTACTGATGATGATATGCAAGTGGATACCACAAGCGGTGTCATCGCCGAAGAAGCCACTAGTTCTTCTGTGAAGGAAGTAACCGATCATGACCAAGAAGTCTCTGAACCTATCGAAGATGAGAAACAACTGCCTGAAGTTCCATCAGAAGAAGATCTCGATTTCGAAAAGATAGATAGTGTAACTGCTGCATCTAATGAACCATCAAGTTCAATTACTAATCCCACGGAAGCAACGGTTACTGAAGACGAGTTTGACATGGTTGATGACCATGACGTCCATTCTCAAAATAGCGCACAGTCAGAGCAACGACCGTCGAACCAAGAACAAACTTCATCCAAGCCAATTCAGATACCAATACACTGGAGTGATAACTAAATCATTTTTAAGAATCGCTATGAACTGAATTGTCTTGTATATATATTTAAAATAATAAAAGAAGTTTGTATTATAATGTAAATGAAGACCAATATTTACAATTGTTTGCAAGTGCATTGATTAAGAAGATGTCGTTTAGATTACTGTATGACTTATTGTATTATCCTACAGACGAGTGAACTTCTCGTGAGGTTAAAAACTGCTTTTTATTCTATTAATCAACTGCTCTATTTATACTTGTTGATTCGTGACTTATTATATAAAAATGTAAAAGAAATCTAATTTTAAGAGGATATTCAATGTGACTTCGCTGGTAAAGAAGTCCCCTTGAACCGGCGTTCGGTTGAAC